ATATCAGTCACTCCAATGGAAATGGAGCAGGAGACTCGATCTACGGTGGTGAATTCGAGCACGAGAACTTCATTATTAAGCACGTTCCAGGTATACTCTCCATGGACAATTGGGGTGAAAACACCAGCCTATCTCAGTTCATGATCCTCCCGACCAAGTTCGAGTCAATGGACGGAGAGTACGTGGCATTCGGAAAAGTTGTGAAAGGACTGAATCTGATGAAATGCATTGCGGAGAAGGTCGCAACTGAAAACGGAATTCCCTCCAAGCCCCTGGTGATCGCTGACTGCGGTCAGATTTTCCCTAAATCTGAGGGACTTGTTCCTATGACAACAATGGGAGCTTTTGTCATTTTGATGTTTGGTGTGTTGCTTTTCTTCCTTCGTTTGGATTTCCATTTTGGAGTTTGGTTTTCCCTTGAGGTTTAGATTAGCTTTTGTCGTTTTGATGTGTTTTTGTTCTTGAGTTTGGTGTTACGTTTGAGTTTAAATTGGCTACCATTGAACAATGATAAATCTTACCTTTTATTTGCTACTACGTACAACAACAAATCCGGCTCTGAGTGTGTTAAGTGGTCTTGGTCAAGTTACACAATAGCTAAAGATCATATGCTTATTGTACATTTCAACTCTTTGACACCAAAAAAACTTGGAAATTCGCATCTTTTTGACAAAAAAAAAAGTGAACTTGTTTGCAAATCAAAGAATTGTACATGAAACAAGATCCATACGATTCACCATATTCCTCTGAGAAATCAAACACCTTTCTGACAAAACCAAGCTTTCACGAGTATTCAGTTCGCAGCTTCAGCTACAAGCTTAGTTATAGCAGAGAGATCGTTATCAAGGCCTTGCTTAGCGAGCGAAAGATGATACATCATTGGAGAGATCAGATGAAGAACACTCACCCGCATCCATTGTTGAGCTCACTTTGCTGCGTACTGTTTTTCAATAAGTTGGTCACTTTTTAATCAAAGCTCCTCAAGTTAGAATCATCTTCAGATCAAATATATTTATTTTTGTTTGTTATAATTTTGATTAAAATCAAGCTCAAACCAAACCAAAACTATACAACTCAAAGAAGATATGAATCATGAAGTAACGGATGATGTACCAAAAAGAAATTATTAAAAATGATCAAAACGACATTGTTTGAAAATAACAAAAACCAAGAAAAGAAGAAGAAGCGCAAGAACTCACTTGCTTTGAACCAAACTTAGATCATAATTGAAAAGAAATGGCAGCCATGGTTTGTTTGTTGATGAGTGTCCAAATTTTTAAGGGTTTCGAAGCATGCAATGACGATATTTGGTGTTTTACGTGGAAATTTTTATTTTTGGTGTTCGTAGTTCTATATTTAGCTGCATCAAACTTAGTAATTAACACTATTGTGACATGCAATCAATTACACGTGTAAATTTTTTCCAATCAAATTTTGACATCTGTCATACAAATCT